AATATAGGGATGTGAGCGAAGCAGTGTATTGTTCTGCAGCAGCATTTTGCGCGTTCTAAGCGCGAAAACAAGGATCTGCGTTGATCTGGCCATGAGCTTGCATTGCATAACTGCTTTAGTCACATGTCTTAAGGTACGAGGTTTCCACGTCTGTCGGTTTGAAGCCCGCCGAAGCGACAACGGTTGAATATAAACATAAGTTGGTTCGACTTGAGTCTCATCCCTAAGATAGAGGGAGGGCACCATTCATACCATAACTGGTTTGGTTTGAGTCCACCTAAATCGGGGTTCAGAACTATGCTCAATTCAAGCCCTTCAAGGCCACCTCTGCTCCCCGGTGGTGCTGGGCCGACCCGCCCGCCCTGGTACAACAGCGGAAAAACGATGGCCCAGCCTGGCTGATGTTCGAGTAGCCCATGCTCATGTTTACTCTGTAGTGTTTCGGCCAAATGGGTCACCCCCAGCCTCTTCCGCCTGTTTCCTCACACATTTATTTTCCATTTGCCTGCCTTCCCAGATATCTGGACTACAACAGCTTTCAGGGGGATATTTCATGGATCTCCACTCTTTCGACCATGGAAAGCTTGTATGGCCCAATCCAGATGGAATGCAACTCACCGCCGTCTCCCCGCCTCCTGTCAAAATGACCTTCCTCTATCTGTGCAACCTCCGTTCCTCCTTCACTTCGCATTGTTTAAAAAGGGCAGCATCTTTGTGTGCACTGGGATACCCCCAAGCAATATTCCAATAGAAATTTGTATGCATGCCGTATGAAAAAGTACCAAACTTCAACCATTTCTGGTCGAACTGCGTCCAAGAGATGCCCTCTCTCTGAGTACAACGCAGTTTTTCTTCCGCTCTTGAAGCAGTGCTTTGCACTGTTCCTCTGCTGTTATTCTCATTCCTTTCCCTGCCTTAGCTAGTTGCTTCTCCCACCCTGAGTCTAACCGGGTGCTGCTATAGGTCCAAGAAGCACAGAGTTGGAGCTTCAACTCGCTTTCACACCATCCACAACTAGTAGTGATTAGTGGGGATGTGGGGGCGAGTAGTGATTGTATTTGTACAACTAGTAAGCACCCAACAAGGTGACAGGATTTTATAGGCTATCACAGTCTATACCTACTCTGTGCTGCATCAACAATTTCAGGTTACAACTTCTTTGCAAGTGCTTTGCCAACAACAATAAGCAAGCAATATTTCTCATGATATGTGTAACATACATAATTCCTATGCCCAGGTCGTTGCAATACAACAAATTCAACGGGCAACTGCCGAGCACCTTGTCATTGCGTGCTTTGAACTCATTGTGAGTATAGGTACTTTCAAAAACTTTTTTGTCAAATGTCACTCCATGTTAAGAAATGAACATTGCCTATCAGCATCGGTCACGATATTCATGCCTGTTTCCATTCTACGTCCCGGCCGTTGCATACTATTAGACATACTGGATCAATCAACGTCAATCCGGGTCCGGCCGGCCACCACTTGGCTCAAAGCAGAACCATCTCGTGTCGACGCTTCTTTGCACCCGTGACTGTCTTAAGGTCGCCTCAAACCACTGGCGGTTTGCGACCGGTTCTAGTTCGGCCCGTCCTTGATGGGAATGCTTCCAGAAGCAAGATGGAGAGTGCTCCTTGAATGCTCAACTAGGCTTGAACAAAAGTCAAACATGAACCGGTTCAAGTTGAGCCGGCTTGAACCAGAAGGTTGGTTGAACCGAAGCTAACCAGTTCACAATATCATGTTGTGCACTTCGATGCCTTTCTGTTGAATTTGAACATGGTAGATCAAGTTGTGACACAAAGACTTTGTTGTTTCAGGCACATCGTAAATACAGATCTGAGTGTAACTGATTCTTTTTGGGGGGTCGCTTGAATGACTCGGGAGTGTAGTGTCTTGATCTCGAGTCAGGCCTAATGCGACCGCAAAAGTTGAGCACGAGTCGGGAGTTAGAAAAAAACGACTATACTATGGCTTGACTCAACTCGACTCTTTTCTGAATCAAGGTGACTTTGATTTGACTTGTGACTATGCCTAATCGAACCGGGAGCTTGTATAGGCTTGAATGTTGCAAGACGGAGGTTTTTCTCCAGCCATGCGGACCAGTTTTGTTCGCCCTCATTGAAGCGAGGCTGGGTCGATTCAGCCTGGGCATGAGCACACAGCGAGGCACGTAAATATCTGTAAATAAACCAGTGCGGTCGGGATATGAGTGGGTATGGGAGAGATTCAGATGTAAGTCAATCTTAGGGGTCTCGCTGTTTGAAGTGAACCTGTGTGGTTCTGCTCATACATTTTCCTCTAAAGGCGAAAATTCTTTTGCTCGCCTTGCTTCGGGTGAGTAGAAATTAGGAACACTCCTTGTTACTTGCCCTGAACAAGTAACAAAAATGGTGCGAGTTTTTTGCTCGCCTCGTTGCTCACGTCTAGCTCGAGCCGTTGGTGCAGAAACCCTTTATCCTGTCTGCAATTGATGTCACTGTGTGTTTTGTCAGGATGCTCCAGAACAATGGATTCTCAGGGTCGTTACCTGATTTTTCGAAGTGGTCTACTTCCCTACTGAGTCTGTAAGTTGTACCAAATTGGCTGCTTTGTTTTTCGGACACAGCAACGTGAGTTGAGCAGTATTGAGGAAGCTTCTGGCCCAGCAATCATAATGGAGCACACTGTCATGTAAATAACATCTAGTTGAAGGGCTCTGGTGTGGTTGAACGGACACGTGCGAGAAAGCATCAGATCTTTGTAGCTGGTGCATGACCAATACTCTGTGCAATCCCATTGAGGCAAACTCATAGCATCAGCATGAACCGAACCAAGGAAGAAAGGATAAGGATAATGAGGCAAGGTTAATGCGCTGACTATATAGAGCAGAGGCCACGCTGACTTGGAAAGCGGACTTGAAAGCTGTATGGAAAGATAAGCTGGTTGCGTTTCATCCTCCATAGAAGGTCAAAGAAGGCAATGCTCATAGCAGCTCCTCACAGTTACGACTGTGAATGCTTGTACGTTTCTTGTGATATATCCACTCCACCAAAAAAAACAAAACAAAACAAAACAAAACAAAAAAAACCAAACAACACCCGTGTTAATCGAGCCACAAACGCTCGGACATGAGCTCCGTGCCTGCGACTCTTCGTGCTACCTAGACATGACTCATGAGCCTTCTCATGACTCATGAGCCTTCTCATGACTAGACAAGAGAATTAAACTCGAAATGGTTTAGTTCAAACCATGCTGAACTTAGGGCATAGTCAAACCAATCCTGTTCGATTCGGGCCAAACGTTTTTTCTTGAATTTGAGGTTCAACATAATCAGATGGTTTTGATTTGACCCGAACCTGTTCAGTTAGGTTTGAACTGCACGATTCATTATAGTCACACAAGAGGCACTCTACAGGTGTGTACAGTGTGGTTTCTCACTGTGCCGCAAAGCCCGAATCCACCGCAATTCTGGCGCACTCATGGCGGAGGGCGTGATGTGTCCCTGCGGCACGGAATGTTCTGGTCCTGAAGAAAGATGTTTAGCCTGAACGTGTTCGATTTGAGTTTCAGTGCCGAACCGCGTCAAACCCGATACGTTTGGGTTCGAAATTGTTCGGAACCAACACACCTGTTTTAACTTATGTTAACTTACGTTATGCGTCTGTTTTAAGTTTTCCACAACCCCCCAAACCATACAGGCAGGCAGTCAAATTCACCATATATTTTGAATCAGGGCGATGTTCTTACAGAAAAATACAGCGAATATATGAACACAAACATGTTCGCCCCCAATACGTTTCTGTTTGAGGCAAACACGTTAGTGTTTGTCTGAGGCAAACACCCTAACAACCTTTTCACAATGTTCGGTATGTTTTGTACCAGAACACGTTCGGGTCGGGTATAAGAGGAACTAAGCTTGAGAAAATGGGAACCTAACTGCCAATTCGAACAAATCTTTGTGCTGTTTTGATGACCTGGGGTTTTGCTCTGCGCACATGTGGTGTCGTCGAACGGTTCGACGCGAGCATCTCGAGGTTTGACCAAAACGTGTTGTTTTTTCTTTCTTTATTTCTTTCTTTCTTTCTTTTTGCAAAAGGAACAAAAAAAGAGGTTCTGTTTGACCGTATTCAAATTGGTTCGATGATGGAACCAAGGTTCGGTCATCCACCCCGATTTGAACCGAACGGCTGCTTCTATCGGAACAGAATCTGGTTTTGTTAAACAAGCCATCAGTAAATTTTCTACCTTCATTGTGTGTTGTTAATTTCCGAATCTTGAGATGTACTATCCATTCTGTCATGGGAATGACGCACCTGGTGTGGGGTTCAGCAGGATAGGGTTAGAAGGAGCTGGAGCAGGAATAGAGGAGGGTTCTTAACATATTTAAACCACGCAGCCTGATCTGGCTGACATGACATGGGACTAAACCAGTCAAACCAGTCTCGAGCAGAACCAGAACCGATTCTGCTTGTGAGTCGACTCATAACCAGAAACAATTATTTCTTGAACCAGGCGGCTGAAAGAAATCGTCCCATTTGGTTGGCGATCTAGGGGTTCAGTTCTTTGCTTCTGCCTATCTTACACGGTACTGCAATATATGTTCTATGTGAGAATAAAAGTTGGAAGAGAAGTTGTTGTTGAATTGAGGAGATTGGGGGTTTACATAGGGAATGGGTTGGATCCTAGCCTAGGTGACCATTATTGGACCCCACCCATGAAGTTGGGTTGGGGGATTATTGGTGGGGTCCAATAATGTTGGCCAAGTTGGGGTTGGGCCAACATTATTGGTGTGAACCAATAATTCTACCCAACCCAACCTTTGGGGTCCAATAATTGGACCAAGGTTGGGTTTCCAACCTACAAATTGGGTAACCCCTGCTTGAACACCCAAACTAAGTTTGGGTGCTTATCTCTAGCCTATCCTATAACATCTATGCAGGTTACAAGAGAAGATAGATTCTAACACAACCCCTTAACCTGCAGAGATGTGGAAAGGCTTGAGGGAAGCAACCCCTGAATCAAGGCGCGCCCGGGGAAGCGAGGCCGATGAGGCGAAGAAGAGCAGAGTGCGCAGGGCGAAGAAGTGCTTTGGTGAAGATATCTGCCAGGTTGGCTTCAGCGGCGATCTTGCGAACGGCGATGAGATTCTGTTGGACAAGGTCACGGATGAAGAAATAGCGGAGCTCAATGTGCTTGGAGCGACCGTGAAAGACAGGGTCTTGGGTGAGATGGATGGTGCTGGCATTGTCACACCAGAGGGTGGGGCAGCGCTGGGGAACACCAAGCTCAGCTAGGAGGAAGCAGAGCCAGCGGGACTCTTGCGCGGCCATGGTGCCAGCATAGAGCTCAGCTTCACAGGAGGAGAGGGCGATGGCGGAGGAGCGAGTAGAGCGCCAGCTGATGAGGCCGCTGCCGAGGGTGAAGCCATAGCCTTGGGAGGAGCGGCGGTCTGGCTGGCAGTCTGCCCAGGAGGAGTCGCTGAAGCCAGAGAGAAGGGGGGGGGAAGATCCACCCAGTGTGAGAGCGTGGTCCCTGGTGCCACGAAGATAGCGGAGGACTCGCTTGGCGGCAGTCCAGTGTTCCTCAGTGTGGCGGCCGGGGCCGACGAATCGAGCAAGGACGCTGACAGGGTAGGCGAGGTCGGGACGAGTGCACATCATTGCGTACATCAGTGACCCAACAAGCTCGGCGTAGGGCCGGGAGGAGGTGGAGGGGGAGGTGGGTGGCGCAAGCTGGTGACCGAAGGGGAGGGGTGTGGAGACTGGTTTGGCTTGTGCCATCTCGAACTTTTCCAGGACCTGGCCGATGTAGTGGGACTGGGAGAGGGTGATGGTGCGGGCGGATCGATCACGAGTGATAGCCATGCCGAGGTAGTTCTGTAGTGGACCAAGGTCCTTGCACTTGAGACGTTCCTGAAGAGACCGTTTCACTTGATCCATGTCAGTCCTGGTGTCAGCGAGCAGGATCATGTCATCGACGTAGACCGAGATGAAGAAGCGACTGGGGGAAGAGCGGATGAAGAGGCTGGCGTCGGAGTGGGAGGGGGAGAAGCCAAGGGACTGGAGAGTAGCAGACAGCTTCGCATGCCATTCTCGTGGTGCCTGCTTCAGGCCGTAGACCGGTCGCTTCAGCTGCCAGACGGTGTTGTCGGGGAACGTAGCATGGAACCCGGGAGGTCGGCGGAGAAAGATGCGTTCGTGCAGTTCACCTTGCAGGAAAGCGTTGGAGACGTCCATGGAGTCAATCTCCATGTCGTCCCGCGCACCGATATCCATAAGGGTGCGTAGGGTGGCTTGCCTGAGGGTGGGGGCAAATGTGAACCAGTAGTCCTCAGCCCAGGTCTGGGTGAACCCCTTAGCAACATAGCGGGCTTTGTAGACTGGTTCCTCTCCCGGCAGCTGTTTGACTCGAAAGATCCACTTGCCCTCGACAAGGTTGGCGTCAGGGGGAAGGGGAACGTCGATAAAGGAGTCGTTGCGGATGAACGCCTCACATTCCAGGAAGATAGCGGCTATCCACTTGTCAGCGTCAGGGCAGGTGATAGCTTCCTGGAAGGTGGTGGGGACGAAGATGGTGGGAGCGGAGATCGCGCTAAGGAGTAGAGCGCCGAGGAGGTCGGGGTAGAGGGTGGAAAGAGAGGGAGTGTGGCGCTGGACCATGGCGAACTCCTCATGGGAGTCCTCGAGCTGGCTGAGGGAGGAAGGTGGCGGAGTGCCAAGGATGGGATCAAGAGAGCGGGTGTGCATGCGAGGGAGGAGGAAAGGTGAGGAGCGGGCAGTCGCCCTCCGCCGCTGTTGCTGCTAGTGCTGCTGGAACCCCTGCTGCTGCTGCGGCTGCTGCCCCTCCTGGTTCTGCTGCCCCTGCGGCTGCTGCTGCTGCTGCTGCGGCTGCTGCTGCTGCCCCGGCTGCTGCTGGTGCCGCTGCTGTTGTTGCTGCCCCTGCTGCTGCTGCCCCTGCGGCTGCTGCTGCTGCTGCTGCTGCTGCTGCTGCTGCTGCTGCGGCTGCTGCTGCCGCCCCTGCGGCTGCTGTTGCTGCCCCTGTGGCTGCTGCTGCTGCTGCTGCTGTTGCGGCTGCTGCTGTTGCTGCGGCTGCTGCTGCTGCTGCTGCTGCTGCTGCCCCTGCGGCTGCTGCTGCTGCTGCTGGGATGGATGATAAGGAGAGTGGGAAGGAGAGGAGGGAGGGGGAGCTGCGGAGTGTGCAGGGGATGTTGGAGCAGTGGGATCGTAGATATCGGCAGATGAAGGTGGCGGAAGCGGGGTGGGGAGGGGTGGAAGAAGAGGTGCTGGAGGGAGGAGGGGAGGGAGGACAGTGTCGGTCCAAGCGAGAGGACGTGTAGGAGGAGGGAGGGGGTCTGGTGGTGGGGAGGAGTAGTATGGGGTGGTCTCATCGAACACAACGTCGATGCTGCGGATGAGGCGACCAGAGGGAGGGTGGAGGAAAAGGTAACCGGGCGAGTCGCGGTTGTGGCCAAGGTAGACACACTCGAGGGCACGAGGAGCGAGCTTGCCTTGGGTCCGTTCAGCTGGAGGGATGAGCACATATGCCTTGCAACCCCAGACACGGAGTCCAGCGGCGTCAGGTTTGGACCCTGACCAGAGCTCCGTGGGGGTAGTGGCAGTGTGTTGGGGATGGGAGTGAAGGTTGAGGAGGAGGGAAGCATGAAGGAGGGCATAGCCCCAGAGAGAAGGGGGTGTGGAGGCGTGAGCGAGGAGACAGCGGGCGATCTTAGTGATTTCGCGGATGCGGCTTTCTGCGATGCCGTTCTGCTGAGGGGAGTGGGGAAGAGTGTGGGTCTGTTGGATGCCATGAGTGGTGCAGTAGTGAGAGAGAGTGCGATTGAGGAATTCGCCTCCCCCATCAGAGTGGAGGCGGCCGATGGGACGTTTGAAGTGGGTGCGGCATTGTTCTGCCCAGCGAATGACCATGGTCGGCGCCTGATCTTTTGTGTGGAGGAGGAAAACGGTGGAGTAGCGGCTATGATCGTCAACAAGAACCAGCATGTAGCGATGGCCTTGGCGTGAGCGGGTGGGAGAGGGCCCCCAGAGGTCCATATGGACAAGGTCAATGGGTGCAGGAGCAAAGGCAGGGTGGCTGTGATGAGGGGATTGTTTGAGTTTGCCGTGGACGCAGGAGGGGCATGGGGGGGCCGGGGAGGAGGGAAGGGGAGGAAGGGTGGGAGGGAGGCTGTGAAGGAGTCGTGAGGTGACGGCAGTGCGGAGAGCGGCGAAATTGGGATGACCGAGTCGGTGATGTAGGAGAACAGCGGGGTGGGAGAGATGGTCGGAGGTGGAGGGGGCTGGAACGAGTGAGGGCGGGATGAAGGAGTGGGAGGACGGTGGAGTGGGAGGGGAGGGAGGGAGATGGGGAGGGCTAGTGGAGGTACCCGTACGAGTGGTGACATGACAAGAGGATGGCCACGGAGTGCGGAGAGTGTAGAGGCGAGTGCGGGGGCAGAGGGGTATGCGGAGGAGGAAGCGGCCGGAGGCAGTGTGGTAAAGGTCACAGTAGGTGGCATTACCAGGATAGACGGCAGTGATACCTGCACCTTGGATTTCACGGTGGGAGAGGAGGTTGTTTCGGAGAGTGGGGATGTGGAGACCAGTTACCTTACCAGAGGGGAAGAGTGAGCAGGGGAGAGTGGAGAGGTGTGTGCATGGGATGGTGAAGCTGCTGTCAGCGCCGTGAACGTGAGTGGGAGGGGAGAGGGGTGTGAGTGTACCAGCATCTTTGAGAGCAGTTTCAGTGGCCCCACTGTCTAGGACAAAGTCCAGAGTGGGCGAGGAGGAGGAAGACACGGAGTACTGGAACGTGGTTTCATTAATGTTGGATGGGTACATGGAAGGAAGAGAGGGTGAGACAGAAATGTTGCCAAGAAAGCTTTCCTGAGTGAGAGGGGTGGCAGTGCCACTGGGGGGAGGTGGAGCACCCCAAAGGGGAGCCGGGGAAGCCTGGGCGGCCATGGCTGCTGTGCCAAAGTTTAGCTGCTGCTGCTGCCAGGGAGGAGGGCTGGGTCCCCACTGGGGCTGGGGCCCTGATCCCCATGGGTGCTGCTGCTGCGGCTGTGGGTAAAACAGCTGCTGTAACTGCTGCTGCGGCTGCTGCTGCTGCTGCTGCTGCTGCTGCTGCTGCTTGCTGCTGCTGCTGCTGCTGCAGGAGGTGCTGCTGCTGGAGGTTGAGGAAGGGCGCGGGGGGAGCAAGGAGGCGGAGGTGGGCGGGGAGATAAGCGGGGTTGGTTTGGATGTCAGTGGGGGAGGGACGTGGGGAAAGTGTTGCCCACTTGGGAGGATTGCCAACGTTGCCTCGTGCGTACCATGCATCATCGAGGATCTTGAAGCAGGTGGCAGGAGGGTGGTTGGTCTGTCCGCAGGGGGTGCCAGCCCGGGGACCATAGCGGCGGACATAGGTGCAGGGCGGAAGAGTACCAGGGCGGGTCCCACTGGTTGCAGATGCTCCGCCTGTATTGGGGGTGCCATGCTCGTCTCCAGTGGTGCCGCTGCGTCTGTTCGCGTTGCTGCTGCCGTGGCCGCTACCTCCCTTGCCTCCACCACCCCCCTTGCCGTTGTTCTTGCCCTGCTTGCGGGGCTGAGTAGCGTTGAGGGAGGAGGAGGAGGGTGGGGAGGAGGCGAGGTTGACGATGGGGGTGCGAAGTTTGACTTCGGTGTCTATGATCCACTGTTCAACGGAGGCGAGATCGGCTAGGGGATTGGCCTCGGTAAAGGCGTGAAGGCGGGATTCATAGTCGGGAGTGAGGTTAAACAGGAGGCGATGGATTTGGAGAGGTTCGGAGAGGCCGGCTTGGCGGGCTTCGAGACGGTCAGCTACCTCCCGCATGCGTCCGATGTAGTCGACCGCTCCGTCACAGGTAGCAAGGGTGATTGAGAAGTATTCTTGGAACAGGATACCGACCGAGCTGATGTCGCGGCGTTCGAACATCGCATGGAGTTCTGCCCAGATGACCGAGGCCCGAAGCTCTCGAGCCTGGAAGCGGCGCATGAGGGAGTCAGGGAGAGCCCCAAGGAGAACGGTGCAGGCACGAGTGTCAGCAGTTGTCCAGGCGATAAGTTTCGGGATGTGGGTGGCCATGTCGTCTTTGTATTTGGCGACGACGGCGAGGTGAGCGTTGCGGCCAGCAACCGCCTGGTCATAGGCTTCGACTGCTGCATCGTACTCTGCTTTCTTGATAAGGTACGCACGGCGGCGTAAGATGAAGTCTGCATCATCGGCGACTTGGTCGCCTGTGCTTTGGAGGTCGGGTTCAAGAGGAGGATCGCCGGGAGAGGGAGGGAGAGGAGGAGTCTCGCCTGGGTGTTCAGGTTCGGTGGGGGGGAGTGCCTGGGGACGGCGGAGGAGGACATCAAGGACACGGTAGGGGGGAACCCATGCGTCGGAGAGAACTCGTCGGATGCTGCCGACGAAGGAGTGCCAATTGACGGCGGATTTGTCTGCGGCAAGCTGCAGCTTATCGACGGAGGATGTATCAATAGGAGGAGGGAGGGGGGCGGGGGAAGGTGCGGCGGTAGCCATGGAGGACGGCCGCAGGGAGACCCGCAGTGGTCACGGAGGAGAGGGAGGTGAGGCGGCGACGAAGCCGCAGAGGGGAGCGGCGCGGACGGCGGCGGCTGGTGGGGCCGCGGTGGCGTTGGCGCGGAGGCGGCGACGAGGCCGTGAGGGGAGCGGTGCTGGCGGTGGCGGCTGACGAGGCCGCGGCGGCGCTGGCGTGGAGGCGGCGTTGGGGCCGCGGAGAGGCGCAGGCGGCGGCGGCAGCTGGCGCAGCCGCGGCGGGACAAGCGGCGACGAGGCCGCGGGAGGGAGCGGCGCGGACGGCGGCGGCTGGCGAGGCCGCGGCAGTGCAGGCGCGGAAGCGGCGACGGGGTCGCGGGAGGGAGCGGCGCGAGCGGCGGCGGCTGGCGAAGCCGCGGCAGTGCAGGCGCGGAAGCGGCGACGGGGTCGCGGGAGGGAGCGGCGCGAGCGGCGGCGGCTGGCGAAGCCGCGGCAGTGCAGGCGCGGAGGCGGCGACAAGGCCGCGGGAGGGAGCGGCGCGAGCGGCGGCGGCTGGCGAAGCCGCGGCAGTGCAGGCGCGGAGGCGGCGACAAGGCCGCGGGAGGGAGCGGCGCGAGCGGCGGCGGCTGGCGAAGCCGCGGCGGTGCAAGCGCGGAAGCGGCGACAAGGCCGCGGGAGGGAGCGGCGCGAGCGGCGGCGGCTGGCGAAGCCGCGGCAGTGCAGGCGCGGAAGCGGCGACGGGGTCGCGGGAGGGAGCGGCGCGAGCGGCGGCGGCTGGCGAAGCCGCGGCAGTGCAGGCGCGGAGGCGGCGACGGGGTCGCGGGAGGGAGCGGCGCGAGCGGCGGCGGCTGGTGGAGCCGCAGTGGCGTTGGCGCGGAGGCGGCGTCGAGGCCGCGGAGTGGGGCGGGCGGTGGCGGTCGGTGGGACCGCGACAAGGCGAGCGCGGAAGCGGCGGTGGGGCCGGGGGAGGGAGCGGCGCAGGCCGTGACGGCGTGGGAGGCCGCGGGGCTGAGAGGGAGGGAGTGCTTGAGGAGAGGGGGAGGGAGGCAAGGTAGCCGCGGAAAGATGAGAAAGGAGGCCGGGGGTTGCGGCGGCCTTTGAAAAAAAACTAGGAGCGTAGGCCTAGGATTTTTAAGAGCTCTATACCATGTGAGAAGAAAAGTTAGAAGAGAAGTTGTTGTTGAATTGAGGAGATTGGGGGTTTACATAGGGAATGGGTTGGATCCTAGCCTAGGTGACCATTATTGGACCCCACCCATGAAGTTGGGTTGGGGGATTATTGGTGGGGTCCAATAATGTTGGCCAAGTTGGGGTTGGGCCAACATTATTGGTGTGAACCAATAATTCTACCCAACCCAACCTTTGGGGTCCAATAATTGGACCAAGGTTGGGTTTCCAACCTACAAATTGGGTAACCCCTGCTTGAACACCCAAACTAAGTTTGGGTGCTTATCTCTAGCCTATCCTATAACATCTATGCAGGTTACAAGAGAAGATAGATTCTAACATTCTACTGTAAGAGTGCATCACATGCAGGAGATATGGTTGTTGTGCATTGTGGGTGCAGGAATCTCGGGGCCAACAATTTCACAGGGTCCATCCCGGACTCAGTTAGTACCCTGTCAAGTCTTCTTTCTTTGTAGGTTTGGTGGTTGTTTTATTCAAGTTGTTTGTCTTTCTTGTGCATGAAAAATCCATCCACATCTGTAGACGTACATCGTATGGACACTGATACCACAGTGGTACAGTAGTATGGACATTTATATAGGTTACATATGGGCCAAAGTGGTACCACACTGGTACAACTGAAAGTTGTGCATTGAAGCCACCTGAGATTTATCGCCTACCAATCACCATTGCTTTGGTGGAAAAAGTTGCCAAGAATTTGGCATCTACCTACTGTATGCTTTAGCAGATCTCTTCTTCTAGCAATATTAAAATCTTTTAATCTGTTTTATGTCCTATTGATGCTCTCTGCAGTACCATGAGCAGAAACCAGCTTTCAGGAACCATCCCAACAGCTCTGTTGAGCTTAACGAGCCTGTACACTGTGTAAGTAACTTCTACTTAGTTGCCTAAGTCTCCTCCTTGTCCATCTTATTCCTCTTTCCTTCTCCACATCATCCATGCATGCTTTTTCTACATGCTCGTGTGTCCACAACACATCATACTCCTCCTCAATGATTGAATGTGATCATTGTGTGTGCATTTAGTGTTGTTTACATGAATTTGATCACTATGCATCATGTCTCTATCATCCCTGCACCCTCACCAGCGACCTGGCTTCCAACAGCTTTTCAGGACCCTTGCCTTCGGCCATTGGTGCACTCTCCAATCTCGCTAAGTTGTATGCTCTGTGCTGTGCGCTTTGCACTGAGCTACAGTCGTCTTTGTGCAGTAACCTATGTTGGAGTTAAACTGCAGCCTCACGTTTCCAGGATAAATTCTTATGGCTGTTCTCATTGGTAATTGCCTCCAAGCACCTTCCCACCTTACCCATACATTCAAAGAGCCCTCAGTCTTCTTACAGTCTACTTCGGCGAGACATTACACACCTGTAGCCAATGCATTGTGGACGTTGGGCAACAGCATATTCTTAACAATCACAGCTTTATGTCTCACCGACCCTGCTTGGCTCCTACTTCCGACGTCTGGTCTTCCCCACCACCACACTCGGCAGATCTGATAACTGTCCTCCCCACACACTAACAGGTCTGTGTATGACAACCTGCTCTCAGGCACGCTCCCTGCATCCATATGCAACCTCACACTCATGAACACCATGTAAGGCCTCTCACTTCCGTGGACACCATGTAACGCCGTTCTCACACACGTGTTTAGAACTATCCGACAACTGTGGGTGATGCAAGAATGACTCTGCAATACGAGTGCACAATGGAACACAGGTTGAGTACCGTGCTTGTGGTGAAAGGTGTAAAGACTAGGTGAGTTTGAAATCCTCAATGCATAGAAATATAAAGGAGTTCGTGAGAACGGGATGTGGGTTGTGGCTACGACTGGCGAGCTGCTTGCATCTGCTTGCAATGTCGTATCCAGTGTCCATCGCTGTTCGCTAGCCAATTTGGCCGTGCACTGTAGTCTGTAACTATGGGTCGAACCATTCCCAACCTGGTTCAGCCCAGGTCGGACCGTGCGTTCAAAGCTCCGAAACATGTTTAATTCAAACCTTAGATGGCCTAAGGACGGGCCGAATCGAGTTCGGCCCGAGCTTACTTCGATTTAAGTTTCCACTGCCACTTGGGGGGCCAAGCGTCTGGGCGCTTGACAAAATTAGATCCTTAGGTAAGAATTTCTGTGCAGCCAAATAAATAAATATATTTGAAACTGGCACTAATTCCAAATTGCCGAAATCACATATTGCAGCATCTTACAATCTTGTAATAAAACGTCCCTTCCTTTCCATTTATCTCTGCAGGTTTCTCCGCAACAACCACTTCTATGGAGAGTTTCCTTCATGCCTCTTCGAACATTGCTTGCACCGAATGTGAGCAGGGAACTTAAGATGGTCCTCTTTCAGAACGCACACTGCTCGCATGTGTACATGTCTTCCACTCGCATGTATTGCAAGGGCCTTATCCCTCCTGTTCTTGTTCTCAAGATTGTCGGTGGGTGTGAGGTGCAATACATATAATAGAACAGGTGCAACACAACTCATATGCGCAAGAACCCTAAACTGAGGGTCCCCAACAGCATCTGCTAAATGTTGCCATACCTGATGTATTCTGCTCCCGTCCTGCTTGAGTATCGCAGTGACATCAGCAACAACAGCTTCTACGGCCACATCAACACCAACTTCCGCAACATGGTGCCCACTGACAATGGTCTGCTCAACATCGCCAGCAACTATTTCTATGGCGACCCCTCTCTCTACGCCAATGGCTGCGTGTTCTGCCCCAACGGGGTCATCCCGCCCGACGTGCTAGAAGACCCTTACGGAGATTCAGGCAGCGGTGGGCAATGTGGAGGCAGTTCAACACTCGTGGGGTTTCGGAAGCAAGGCCGAGCAAGTGTGCGGCTGAACTGCTTTGCGCTGAACGACCAGGCAGGGTGCACGGCGAATGAGACGCAGCGGGGCGACGAGGCGTGCCTGTCGTTCTGCAGCATGTCGCGGGAGCAGGGGCCATGTGACGGGCATGGGGCGTGCGTGCCGGTGCAGGCGGGGGCGGCAGATGGGGGGTTCACGTGTGAGTGTGAGGAGGGATTCGTGACGGTCAACGGCACCTTTGGCTCCACGTGTGCTCGACCTTCTCCTCCACTGTCTGTAGGTGAGATTTGGGATCCAAAAGTCCCAAGGAGAACAGGACTTGTGCATCTATGTACATTCACGTGGGTTGGAGAGAAAGACAGGAGAAGCAGACAAGGTGCGGTGATATGGTGAATATGGCTCGTATGGCTTGGTGAGCTTGGCTTGTATGGCAAGGTGACAATGCATGAGCATGAGCATGGCTAGTATTGTATGCCATGGTGAGCGTGGCTCGTACTGTATGCCATGGTGAGCATGGCTAGTATTGTATACCATGGTGACCATGGCTCGTATTGTATGCCGTGGTGAGCATGGCTCGTATTGTATGCCGTGGTGAGCATGGCTCGTATTGTATGCCATGGTGAGCATGGCTCGTATTGTATCCCATGGTGAGCATGGCTAGTATTGTATGCCATGGTGAGCATGGCTAGTATTGTATCCCATGGTGACCATGGCTCGTATTGTATGCCATGGTGACCATGGCTCGTATTGTATGCCATGGTGACCATGGCTCGTATTGTATGCCATGGTGAGCCTGTGTGGCCCTCAGCTTGTTAACGAGCCTGTGTGGCTCGTCACTTTCTGTCAGATCAGATCCGTGCGGATAGATCGACCGACAAACCAGCTAGTGGGCTGACGAGCTGGCTGAGCAGAACTGCCTGCTCGACTCGCCACAATGACACAAGTACAGTGAGATGTGCATCGAGGGATCAACACCCTGACAGTTCTTCACTGGCCCAAAACTCCCCCCCACACCCCATTTCTCCCTGCCGTTTCTACGCCCACCTCTTCAGGGCTATCCACAGGCGCAGTGGTGGGCATTGCCATCGGCTCGGCTGCTGCGTTCGCCCTCCTCCTTGCCCTGGTTGTCGCGCTGCTCTGGCCAAAACAACGCAGTGAGCTCTCTTCCTCTCCCCTCAACCCTTCTTGCTCCAGTACCTCATCAAGACAGGTCCTAAGGCATGAAATGAGAAGCCGCCGTCTCACTCTATTTCCTTGTTTGTGCCGACACTATTGCGTGGCATCTTGCGCATGAGGAGGTAGTTTTTAGCTCAGCTATTTGTTTGTGTGTACTATGCTCCCTCTCCTGTTTATTGTGCAATGTGCTGTTATTTGCTTCTAAGCAAGCAGTCGTGAGTTTAGTACCTCGCTGTGGTTCGGCTCGCCCAACCGGTTCCAAAATAAAAGAAAATAGAATATACATGGCAACGAAAAATAAGTGCCAATCGGTTTGTTTCTTTCTGCTTCAACTAGAAGTCTGTCACTTAACATCTCACTGTGTTGACAAATTTTCTCCAGGTGCTCACCGTTCGTATTACGATTGTGTTGCATCCCTTATGCTCACTGCACCGCCGGTCACTGCATGTGTGTAACCTTATGCTCACTGCACCGCCGGACACTGCATGTTTGTCACCTTATGCTCACTGCACCGCCGGTCACTGCGTGTGTGTCACCATATGCTCACTGCACCGCCGGTCACTGCATGTGTGTCACCTTTCTTGCTTTGCTCTATTTGCACCAGAGAAGTGGAGGGACCTGGACGTGTGTCAGGAGTTCAGCATCAGTGAGATTCTGCAGGCAACCGACAACTGGTCCAGCGACAACGTGCTGGGCAAGGGCGGCTTCGCCACGGTGTACAAGGGAGTGTCGCGCAGGGGAGAGCTGCTGGCGGTGAAGCGAGTTGAGCTCATGTCCAACGAGTTTGAGAACGAGGTGAGAAGATGGGCAGGGCACTTCACCGAGTGGGTGAGGAGATGGGAGGACAAAATAGAAGCCAGAAGGGTCCACCAAGTGATGGGAGGAGGTGGCTATTGGGCCCCAACCCCTCCCTGCGTTTCCCTTGCTGGCAGGTGCGGGCGATGGCATCGCTGCGCCACGACAACGTGGTGCGCCTGCTGGGCTTCTGCCTGCATCAGAGCACGGAGAGCGGGCGGCAGGAGCAGATCCTGGTGTACGAGTTCATGGCCAATGGGGACCTGCAGCACCAACTCCACGGCAACCGCTGTATGTTTTTTACCCTCTACACGTTTGTGTTTCTTCACCTTCTTCCACACTCTTCCACCACTTCTTCCATCGCAAGTTCTCCATGTCATCCCCTACTGCGAACAGTTATCTGCCTTATTTATGCTGCAATAATGTCCTGTGGTGAAGTAAAGTGAATATGTTGTTCCCTAAAGAGATGGTGCCTTTTTTTTAGTTTATGGGTCCATCTTGAAGTGAAGTCTGTGATGACCCCAGTGAATGGGTGAAGTGTTTAGTGCCTACTCCAAATTTCCCACTCTCATCCTCTCAACCAACTTCCCCCTGTCACCTTTATGTATTGCTGATATTCTCTGTACAGAGTGTCACAGGGTTGACCTCACTAGCTTGATGTTTGCTCTCTACCTCGTCGTTTTCGTCTCGCCTCTCTGCGTTCCTCCCAGCGTCCCTATCCCTGCATCAACGGATGAAGATGGCGCAGGGAGCAGCAGAGGGCGTGGCATACCTGCACAGCTTCACCCCGCCCATCGTGCACCGCGACCTCAAGCCCGGCAACATCCTCATTGGCGACAACTTCCAGGTGGGGCGCACACAGAGGGAGCACTACGAGGTGAAGTTGCACACAGGGAGCACTACGAGGTGAAGTTGCACACAGGGAGCACTACGAGGTGAAGTTGCACACAGGGAGCACTACGAGGTGAAGTTGCACACAGGGAGCACTACGAGGTGAAGTTGCACACAGGGAGCACTACGAGGTGAAGTTGCACACAGGGAGCACTACGAGGTGAAGTTGCACACAGGGAGCACTACGAGGTGAAGTTGCACACAGGGAGCACTACGAGGTGAAGTTGCACACAGGGAGCACTACGAGGTGAAGTTGCACACAGGGAGCACTACGAGGTGAAGTTGCACACAGGGAGCACTACGAGGTGAAGTTGCACACAGGGAGCACTACGAGGTGAAGTTGCACACAGGGAGCACTACGAGGTGAAGTTGCACACAGGGAGCACTACGAGGTGAAGTTGCACACAGGGAGCACTACGAGGTGAAGTTGCACACAGGGAGCACTACGAGGTGAAGTTGCACACAGGGAGCACTACGAGGTGAAGTTGCACACAGGGAGCACTACGAGGTGAAGTTGCACACAGGGAGCACTACGAGGTGAAGTTGCACACAGGGAGCACTACGAGGTGAAGTTGCACACAGGGAGCACTACGAGGTGAAGTTGCACACAGGGAGCACTACGAGGTGAAGTTGCACACAGGGAGCACTACGAGGTGAAGTTGCACACAGGGAGCACTACGAGGTGAAGTTGCACACAGGGAGCACTACGAGGTGAAGTTGCACACAGGGAGCACTACGAGGTGAAGTTGCACACAGGGAGCACTACGAGGTGAAGTTGCACACAGGGAGCACTACGAGGTGAAGTTGCACACAGGGAGCACTACGAGGTGAAGTTGCACACAGGGAGCACTACGAGGTGAAGTTGCACACAGGGAGCACTACGAGGTGAAGTTGCACACAGGGAGCACTACGAGGTGAAGTTGCACACAGGGAGCACTACGAGGTGAAGTTGCACACAGGGAGCACTACGAGGTGAAGTTGCACACAGGGAGCACTACGAGGTGAAGTTGCACACAGGGAGCACTACGAGGTGAAGTTGCACACAGGGAGCACTACGAGGTGAAGTTGCACACAGGGAGCACTACGAGGTGAAGTTGCACACAGGGAGCACTACGAGGTGAAGTTGCACACAGGGAGCACTACGAGGTGAAGTTGCACACAGGGAGCACTACGAGGTGAAGTTGCACACAGGGAGCACTACGAGGTGAAGTTGCACACAGGGAGCACTACGAGGTGAAGTTGCACACAGGGAGCACTACGAGGTGAAGTTGCACACAGGGAGCACTACGAGGTGAAGTTGCACACAGGGAGCACTACGAGGTGAAGTTGCACACAGGGAGCACTACGAGGTGAAGTTGCACACAGGGAGCACTACGAGGTGAAGTTGCACACAGGGAGCACTACGAGGTGAAGTTGCACACAGGGAGCACTACGAGGTGAAGTTGCACACAGGGAGCACTACGAGGTGAAGTTGCACACAGGGAGCACTACGAGGTGAAGTTGCACACAGGGAGCACTACGAGGTGAAGTTGCACACAGGGAGCACTACGAGGTGAAGTTGCACACAGGGAGCACTACGAGGTGAAGTTGCACACAGGGAGCACTACGAGGTGAAGTTGCACACAGGGAGCACTACGAGGTGAAGTTGCACACAGGGAGCACTACGAGGTGAAGTTGCACACAGGGAGCACTACGAGGTGAAGTTGCACACAGGGAGCACTACGAGGTGAAGTTGCACACAGGGAGCACTACGAGGTGAAGTTGCACACAGGGAGCACTACGAGGTGAAGTTGCACACAGGGAGCACTACGAGGTGAAGTTGCACACAGGGAGCACTACGAGGTGAAGTTGCACACAGGGAGCACTACGAGGTGAAGTTGCACACAGGGAGCACTACGAGGTGAAGTTGCACACAGGGAGCACTACGAGGTGAAGTTGCACACAGGGAGCACTACGAGGTGAAGTTGCACACAGGGAGCACTACGAGGTGAAGTTGCACACAGGGAGCACTACGAGGTGAAGTTGCACACAGGGAGCACTACGAGGTGAAGTTGCACACAGGGAGCACTACGAGGTGAAGTTGCACACAGGGAGCACTACGAGGTGAAGTTGCACACAGGGAGCACTACGAGGTGAAGTTGCACACAGGGAGCACTACGAGGTGAAGTTGCACACAGGGAGCACTACGAGGTGAAGTTGCACACAGGGAGCACTACGAGGTGAAGTTGCACACAGGGAGCACTCCGAAGTGAAGTTGCACACAGGGAGCACTACGAGGTGAAGTTGCACACAGGGAGCACTACGAGGTGAAGTTGCACACAGGGAGCACTACGAGGTGAAGTTGCACACAGGGAGCACTACGAGGTGAAGTTGCACACAGGGAGCACTACGAGGTGAAGTTGCACACAGGGAGCACTACGAGGTGAAGTTGCACACAGGGAGCACTACGAGGTGAAGTTGCACACAGGGAGCACTACGAGGTGAAGTTGCACACAGGGAGCACTACGAGGTGAAGTTGCACACAGGGAGCACTACGAGGTGAAGTTGCACACAGGGAGCACTACGAGGTGAAGTTGCACACAGGGAGCACTACGAGGTGAAGTTGCACACAGGGAGCACTACGAGGTGAAGTTGCACACAGGGAGCACTACGAGGTGAAGTTGCACACAGGGAGCACTACGAGGTGAAGTTGCACACAGGGAGCACTACGAGGTGAAGTTGCACACAGGGAGCACTACGAGGTGAAGTTGCACACAGGGAGCACTACGAGGTGAAGTTGCACACAGGGAGCACTACGAGGTGAAGTTGCACACAGGGAGCACTACGAGGTGAAGTTGCACACAGGGAGCACTACGAGGTGAAGTTGCACACAGGGAGCACTACGAGGTGAAGTTGCACACAGGGAGCACTACGAGGTGAAGTTGCACACAGGGAGCACTACGAGGTGAAGTTGCACACAGGGAGCACTACGAGGTGAAGTTGCACACAGGGAGCACTACGAGGTGAAGTTGCACACAGGGAGCACTACGAGGTGAAGTTGCACACAGGGAGCACTACGAGGTGAAGTTGCACACAGGGAGCACTACGAGGTGAAGTTGCACACAGGGAGCACTACGAGGTGAAGTTGCACACAGGGAGCACTACGAGGTGAAGTTGCACACAGGGAGCACTACGAGGTGAAGTTGCACACAGGGAGCACTACGAGGTGAAGTTGCACACAGGGAGCACTACGAGGTGAAGTTGCACACAGGGAGCACTACGAGGTGAAGTTGCACACAGGGAGCACTACGAGGTGAAGTTGCACACAGGGAGCACTACGAGGTGAAGTTGCACACAGGGAGCACTACGAGGTGAAGTTGCACACAGGGAGCACTACGAGGTGAAGTTGCACACAGGGAGCACTACGAGGTGAAGTTGCACACAGGGAGCACTACGAGGTGAAGTTGCACACAGGGAGCACTACCAGGTGGGGCGCAGGGGAGCAGGGGGGCGTGGGAGAGCACCAGAAGGTGGGGCGCACACAGCGAGCGCACGTAGGAAGCACCTGGTGGGAGCACAGAATGTGCAGATGAGGTGACATGTTATGAAGGAAACGGGAGGGAGCAACAATGTCAGCTGCCTTATTGGTTGATGGCACGCAATGATGCCGGAGGTGTCAAAAAGTAAGAATGTCGATGGGTGGACCATTGACGACTTGGGAGCGGTGTGATGAACATGCACGGTGGTCTAGTGGCCAGTTAAGTATGCGAAAGAGTTAGGTGAGAAGTACGAGGGATTAGTTAGATCCCGACAATCTAACTGCTCATCCCCTACAAACCTCCCCGCAATCTCACTGCATGCTACAAGCAGCATGAGCAGATGAGTGCAGGTTGATCCTAAGAGGTTGGAAGGAGGGGTACAATGGAAAGGCGGTTGTTTTGGTGTTTGCCAATGACTGTTCGTCACATTTCACACACAGATGGACGGAATCAACCTGTGCTGTGCCCAGACAAATCAACCTGCAACACAGACCACAACCACGCATGCATTCTTGCTTGTACGCATGCACCAAGTTTCCTGATGTAATTCAAGTGTGGAAGTTCAGCTGTCTCTGTATCTGTATGTCTTTGTGAATCCAGGCCAAGATTGCGGACTTTGGGTTGCTCAAGAAGCTCACCCATGCCGACGACGGCGGCGACACGACGCGGGTAGCGGGAACACCGGGCTACGTGGATCCAGACTACAACCGAACGCACGTGGTGACTGAGAAGAGCGATGTGTACAGGTATGTTGCTCCCTCATAATATGGCCTGCTTCAGATGCATTCACACACAGCCATGCATCTGCTGAGTATAAATAATGCATGGCCTGCACATGGCACAGCCATGCATTATTCATATTCAGCAGATGCTATTCAGACATCCACTTGAAAATTTCCGTGTTTATGGGCACCCCCTTCCTTTTCCATGGTGGGCAGCTTTGGAGTTGTGCTGCTGCAGCTGCTGACAGGACATGCGCCGCAGGTGGAGGGCACCAACCGGGTCATCTGCGGCTGGGTGAGAGCATGACCCAGTGTGCATGATATCGAGGCATAGTAGAAACACGAGTAACTTCAAGCGATAGCAGTGTGCATGCAAGATAGCAAATAATAGCAGTACGCATGCATCTCTAATCAATGGCAGCGTGCATGCATCATAACGGCATCAAACCTGCGTGGATCATAGCAACATGAAGCGATAGCAATGTCGTGGATGCATGATCATTTCATGAAGTGATACCACTGTGTGTGCATGAGAGCTACATGCTTGACAGAAACAGCGAGCATGCAGCATGTATACATGCTGACAGTATGGAGTGATTGCCGTGGCTGTGCATGATAGAAACTTCCAATGAAAGCAGCGTGCATGCATGATAGCAGCATTTGTCTGATCAATTCAGAAATACGGCATCACCTTCATCCCATGTTACCACAAATCATATCACTGCCTAGCACCTGGCAGAATTTCACTCTCTCCTCAACCTCCCCATTTGCCCATGTCCCCACCTTCCCACACCTCCACACTGCACCCCACCGCATGGCAGGCGAGCAGCAAGGTGCAGGCGTATGAGTTCGCCTCCCTCAAGGACCCCAAGCTGGATGCACCGGAGGAGGCAGTGGTGGAGCTGGCAGACATCGCTCTCGACTGCGTCAAAGTGCCCGGCTGCCGCCGCCCCGACATGAAAGACGTCGCACGCCGCCTGCACGCCATCCTTACCAAGTACTGTGCAGACGGCCCTTCCAGTAGCAGCGCCGACCCTGCGGTTCACGTGGAGGAGGAGAGACCCAGCTTTGGTGGTGGCATCAGCATGGAGACGTTTGAGAGAAGCGAGCTATCGGAGGGACCCAGTGAGTGGCCTACTTCCAGGATCCTCAGCTCGTCTTTGTCAAGCAAGTGGTGGTCATTCCAGCAAGTGGGACTGTGACAGTAGAGAGAAGATGTATGGTGCAGAAAGTGAGATAGGACAAGAGGCGTGCGGGGCAGGGAAAGGCACGAGGGTGGGCGGCATAGGGAAACGCGGTGAAGGGAGGAGTTTTTGACAGTGTTGGTGCTGGATTGATACACGCCTTAGCAAGTTAAATAGCTGTAGAAGTCAGTGTCATTGGCGCTTTATATTTTGATCAAGAGAGGGATGTGAGCACAGGCTACTGGTACCGTACCGCACACAGGACAGTAGCACAGCGGTACCTGAATCAATGCACATGCATTCTTTTCCTGGCAGGCCAAGCAGGCAGGCAGGATGCTACAGAATCCTTTGGAGCAGTGTTATAATACAAAGGCGCTCATGTCATGCTAACCTTGGCGTCACTCTAGGCACCTGCTCTGAAACCTGCTGCTGTGAGTGTTACAAGAAGCTCCTGTGCCACAATCAGTTCCGTTCCTCCCTTTCAATCCTACGTCCCAAGTCAGCAGTCAACGCTCTGAAACAAAGGCACTCGTGTGGTGGTGGACGTTGGAGTCAGAGCACTGCTGTCGCGAGCACTAAAACCAGTTCCTGGGCCACAATCAGCGTCGTCAATGCCTCAGCTTCCCCAGCTTCCCTCTCTGCCTCCTCCCCTGCTTCAACCCTACATCCAACTCGGCAGTCAGTGCCGTGTTATAAACCCACTCGTGTGGTGACCGTTAAGTCAGAGTCAGATGGCGCCTGCTCCGAACCCTGCTGTGATGACTGCTGCAAGCAGTTCCTGTGCCACTATCAGCTTCCTCATTGCCCCACCTTTGTCACTGCCCCACCTTCCTCAGCTACTGCCCCACCTTCCTCAGCTACTGCCCCACCTTCCTCAGCTACTGCCCCACCTTCCTCAGCTACTGCCCCACCTTCCTCAGCTACTGCCCCACCTTCCTCACTGCCCCACCTTCCTCACTGCCCCACCTTCCTCACTGCCCCACCTTCCTCAGCTTCCGTCTCTGCCTGCATGCACATTCGCTTGAACCCTACACCCAAGTCAGCAGACAGTGCTCTTATCCGGTGACTGTTGGGTTCACTCAAAAAGGGGCTGCTCCAAACCCTGCAGTTATGAGCGCTTCCAGGAGTTCCTGTGCCACAATCGGTTTCCTCACTGCTCCATCCATGCCAGCCTCCAAGCACGCTCGTTTCACTCCTGCATCCAAGTCAGCTGTCAGTGCTATGATACAAAGCCGCGCGCCTGCAACACTTGCTTCCGTGCTTGGATCAGCTGCCCTTGTTGCCGGCTGTGCCCCTGCCTCCCGGTGTGCCTCTGTTTCCTGCTGTGCGTCTGCCTCCTGATGTGTGCGCTCCATGGCACGGATTTGACGAGCCGTCTCGAAGCTAGGGTGAAGGGAATCAGTGGGGTGCAACAGGATGGCCACGTAGAGAAATTATGATGGCTGGAGGTGCAACTTCAAAGGGCAACAGTGAAAGGCTACAGTGAAAGGCTACAGTGAAAGGCTACAGTGAAGGAACCCAAACTGAACTATGACGGTCGCTATGGTGAATTTGAGCTGAGGGTTAATCTAAATGGCAATGGATGATTAACGCAGTAGTAGCAGGAAGGATCATGGCACAGTAACAGCAATGGCGAAAGCAGCAATAGCAGGAATGATAGTGGACCAATAACACAGCAATGTGAACCCAGCAATAGCAGGAGTGGTAACGGCAGAAATCCAGGCTCACCCGTCGATGCCGGGCGGCATGTGCAGGTCGAGGAGCAGCAGGTGGATGGGCGGGGAGGAGGTAGTGGCAGAGGAGGAAGAAGAGGAGAGCGCCTGCAGCGCATCCTCCCCGGAGGGGAGCAGCAGCACGTGCGCCCCGTAGCACTGCAACGTTCTCCTTGCCACCATGCGGTTCACCGCGTTGTCATCCACCACCGCCACCGACTGCCCCGTCACCACTGCTCGCACCAGCACCTCCGCCTCCTCTGCTCCCTCCGTCTCGGCACGCATTCTGGGGAGCGAGTGTGCCCGCCTTGTCTGCCGCCCCGACACCGCCGCTGGGGCCGGCGCCTCCGCGTCTCCCAGGCCCTCCGTGTGGGAATGGGGCTTGGGGAGAGAATGCGACCGTGCTGTTCGCCGGCCCCCCTTCACCACCGCTGGTATCGGCTCCTCTTTCGCTGCTGCCTGTGCCGCCGCCGCTGGCGGCTCCCCTTTGGCCTCTTCTGCATTCTCTAAGGCCTGCGGCTTGAGGTGAGAGTGAGTCCTCTGCTGCTGCTGCTGCTGCTGCTGCTGCTGCTGCTGCTGCTGCTGCTGCTGCTGCTGCTGCTGCTGCTGCTGCTGCTGCTGCTGCTGCTGCTGCTGCTGCTGCTGCTGCTGCTGCTGCTGCTGCACACATGCCTGCTGCGGCATGCCTGGCTTTGTGCCACTCGCAAGTTCCACACACTCCTCATCACATCCCGACCCGCTCTCATCCCTTTCCCCACCGCCCTCCTCCTCATCCCACTCCCCGTCCCCGCAGCTGTCATCGTCCTCCACTCCCCCCAAGGGCAGCGCCAGCAGAATGGTGGTGCCTGTGGCGGCGTCTGACAGCACTGCCATGTCTCCCCGCATCTCCGCCACCTATTGATTGAAGGAGGGAAAGTGGTGGGTGAAAGAGGGGAAGTGGCGGGCGCAGAGGAGGGGCGTGGAGGGACAAGGTGAGAGTGGTGGTGCCTGTGGCGGCATCTGACAGCACTGCCATGTCTCCCTGCATCTCCGCCACCTGCGGGGATGTGGGTGAAGAGGGATGGGAAAGACGTGTGTGTGGGGGGGAGGGGAGAAGGCGGTGGAGATGGGGGGTTTTGGGGGTGGAAGCGGGGTTCAACAAAACATCACTTTCACAAGGTCGTGGGAGAATCTCAACCAGATAAGGTCGGGATATCTGATCCAACAAAATTTACATCTACGCACTGGGAGGAGGGGGCACTCACAAGGGCGGTGGAGAGCAGGAAGCGAACGGGGTAGGGCGTCCAGCGGGGGCGAGCAGCTGCCTTCTGCTCGTGCGTGAGAGCAGATTTTGATGCTGGCCTCTTGGGGCGGCGAATGAGAGAGAAGGGAAAGAACGTGCCCTGTCGGAGGGTGGACACACACAGAGAGAGAAAAAAACAAGGGAAAAAATAAAATAATATATAAAAAAAAAAAAAAAAAGAGGTGAGGGGTCGATTGAACATGCTGGTGAACTTCCACGGGCACTTCTTGGCAGAGTGTGAGAACTTGCAGCAATTCAACGGAGCAGCCCTGTTGTGTGTGAAAACTCACCTTGACACCTTGCTCATCCTGATCGCTGTCATCACCATCATCAGCAGCATCACCATCATCAGCATCAGCATCAGTAGGCGGTGCATGAGAGGTATGAGCGGCGTGGTGGGAGTCTCCATGTGGATCCAGCACCCACCGCATCTCCTCGGGAGGTATACCACCGCCCGTGTCCTCACATGCCACCACCACCATCCACTCACCCTCCTCCCTCGCCCTGCATGCCTCCTCCACCCACTCCCTCACCTCCTCCTCCAACCGCCCATCCCCACCCTGTCCCTCCTCCCCCCCCCTCCCACTTGACCCTTCAAACTCCCCTCTGCCTGTCGCCCCCATGCCTGTAGCCGCTGCCACACGCCTGCAGCAGCGCTCAACCAACCCCATCCGCCGCTGCTCCTCACCCCCTTTGCTGTTAGCCCCGCCGCCCGGCCTTCCCGCCTGGATCCGAGGGAGGCACGCGAGGGCGGTGGGGGGAGGGAAGCGGCGCACACAGGCAGCCAGCTGCTGCCACGTGGAGGAGGCCCCATGATTTGAGGGAGGGTGAGTGGCAGGCGAGGCGGTGGATGGGCCGTGGAGATCGAAACAGTTGATGGAAGCGGGGAGGGGAGGTGGGGGAGGGATGCAGCCGACATGTAAGGTCACGTGGCCCCCTGTGGTGTTGCCCATGGCGTGGGCTGTGAGCGAGGGGGAAGTTGAAGTGGGCAGACTCAGAAAGGGTGCTTTAATAAAAAAAGGAACCTTCAATATAGGTGCTGAAAAGAGGGCGGTGAAAAGGGCTGTCGTCAAGGGTTGAGGTCAAGGCTGGTCTTAGAGCTGTTATCACAGGATGTTACAAACGAAGCAAGAAGATAGTTTCAGGGAGGTGCTAGGTAGATTTGTGTTAAACACACACATGCAGCACATACAAAGCACATGCACAGCTGAGAGCAGCATCATGCGAGGCGGCCAACAACCCAGCACCCACCCGTGAGCTCTCCAATGACTTGCAAGAGGCGAGTCGGATCCCCCATGAGGACAGCTGGCACACTCTCGTCCACGTGGCATGTCACTGCAGCGTGGCGCACAGCAAGATAATGCAAAATCAAGAAACAGCAATGAGTTGAACGGAACGCGCGGCCTGTGTTAAACCAAGTCGAACGCAGCTGGTGCAGGCAGAGCAAGCACGCTCGTACCGTGCGACTCCTTTGTGTGCGCATCAGAGGCAGCGAGTGCGGTCGCCTCACGCACGATGCGGCGCAGGCAGCAGGGGAGGGTCTCGAGCTGCAGGCGGCCGGCCTGCAGCTTGGCGAGGTCCAACACTCGGTTGATGAGCTCCACCGTCTCGCCCGCACACGCCCTCGCAATCCTTAAGTCCGCCACCTGCCACTCCTCCAACCGCGACTCCAGCAGCTCCTCGATCATGCCTGTGTGAGAGGGGAGGAGGGGAAGAAGGGGGAGGGGAGGGAGGGGAGGGGGACGGGGGTTGGGTTTGGTAGGAGTGGGGGGCGTTGCAGCTTGGCACTCGGTTGATGAGCTCCACTGTCTCGCCCGCACACGTCCTCGCCACCCGCAGGTCTGCATGCTGGGTTGCTTCAACTGCACGACGAGTCAGTTGTGAGCAAAGGGCAGTGCTGGTTCTGCTCGCAATGATCAAGCCAAAAGAGCACACACACGCGAGCCAATGTGAGTCAATGCACGTACCCGTAGACCCACGTGCATGTGTACACTGACTGAATGAAGTGTAGGAATGCACCAACATGCTAGGAGGTTGGGCTGAATAGACTAGGAGAGCACCCGCTCAAAAACGAGGTAAGGAAATGAATCTATCGACCTGAATATCCAACCTGCGTGAGTGTGTTGAACAGTCATGTGGCTGAAGCTTTACTAAGAGAAGTATGTGAAGCAACTGCTGGAGAAGTACGACATGGAGCTCAGACGAAAAGTCGCTACCCCGCTACCATGCGAATTGAAACTTGTTAAGGCGGAGGAAGGGGAAGGAGTTGATGAGGGAGAGCAGCAACGCTACCAATCACTTATGAAAAGTCTTCTGTATGTCACTGTACACATGAGGCCGGACATCTCTTTTGCGGTTAGACAACTCGCCAGGGTGGTGCCCAACCGGACTGAGGAGCAAGTTGATGCAGCCGAAAGAGTCGTGATGTATTTGAACTCATTCCCAACTGTGGGAGTTCAATTCTCAGGAACACACAACAGAAGCAGATTGGGGTGCAGTTGTAGAAAGAGAAGGGGGAAAGGCTAATAGAACAAAAACTTTTCTTCACTTCTTTCTCAGATGCAAGATGGCCATCGGAACATGAAGACTCATCCTCTGTGGGTGGATATATTTGCGTGAGCTGGAGGTCCAATTGACAGATTGAGTCGGCTAATTCGTCTGCCGAGTCCGAGTACATGGCCGTGTTTGGAAATAATAAGACTGAGAAGGTTACTGGAGGAGATTGGTCAGAAGCAGACGATTTCCATGCCACTATACTGCGACAACATGTCCGCAATCGCAATGGCTGGCATTGCTGTCCTTCACGGTCTCAACAAGCACATGCGCCTGAAGGGGCACTGGCTGCGCAAGGACGTTAACCGCAAAATAGTCAACCCGATCTGCATCAAGACACAACAGCAGCCGTCAGATGTCCTGACCAAGCGATAGGTCATTGAACCACACTGGCGGTGCGCGCGGATGAGCGGCATGGGCATGAACTGGGCATGGTTAGAGACAAAACCGACAAATTGAGAGGGAGTGTGTTAATACAAAACTGGTTAGTATCAGGGCCCAAAATAGGTTTAGGTCCACTCTTTCAAATCAGGGTTCCAGGCCCCCAGTACCCTGACTGTTAGGGTAAAATATTTCGTACCCTGCCAAAAACAGCCTAAAAAAACCTGTACACTGGTTTTAAAAGGGGAAATCGTTTTTATCGACAATTAAACTTTTTAGTGCTATAACTCAACAGCATATGTCTCAGCTAGTCGGATGTTAGGCTAGGTTTATGAAGGTTGCGAGTTCAAATCTGGCTGGTGCACAGTTTTTTTTTTGCATCAGTACACCCTGATATCGGCATGGTAACAGAAATCGTTATCAGTGTAAAAGAAAACTTAGCCTGTTTGCTCTAGGGTAAAAAAATTTGATACCCTGTTTTTTGCAAGGGTATCTTTGAAAAAGCGGCCTACCATCAGGGCAAAAAGGGTATTTTACCCTTGAAATTTGGGCCCTGGTTAGTATATCAATCACCTGGTTTTCTCCTAGGGAGTGCACAAGGCTTTTGAAGCTGAAGTGCTGGGGCGAATTGCTCATTACTGTGTGGTCAAAGAGGGTTGACTTTCGACCAATGGGGATCATCAATTCAATTTACAGACTCAGTTGACTCGACTTTTTTATTGAGCAATCACGACGCGAAATTTATATTCGCACTACGAGCTCCCTGCTGCTCAAACCAACAAAGTTGGAACTGCGTTAATTGGGCAGTGTTCGCGCTCATTCTGAACTTGCAGCACAAACAGGTTCCGAACATGTTCAAAACAAGTTCCCAACAGGTTCCGAGCAGGTTTCGAACAAGCTGACGCGGATGGATCACATGACAACTGCTCGCGCACCGACATTTCGAGAGCTGCACACTCGCCATCTGGAATACCTCATCTCGAGACGATGCGTACAACTCGACCGATCAAAGCACGTGGCGAAATTGCTCACGCCACCAAAAACTTAAGCGAGGGGACTGGCCCAAACCAGCACGCATGCTCGAAACAGCGAGCTAACACGAATTAAAAAAGCGGATCGACTGGAGCCGTTATCAAAACGGCGCGAAAATCACAACTAATAGACCCCGTTAATAAATTTTCGCAAAAAAAGAAAAGGAATATTCGCCAACGAATCGCAACCTAGCTGAGTCAGAAAAACAAAACAAGGGAAACGCGTATGTTTTCGCACCTTGTTAATCATAGAAAATTTTCAGAGGTGTTATAGCTAGGTTATAAAGGTTTGCCCTAAACTATGAAAGCATTACTATGCCTATCAAGTGCTCTCCCCGCAGTGCTATCAATTTTACGTTTCACTAGCAAAAACTCTCTGCCAACGCCGTGACAAGGGCTTCCACTGTTGCGGCTCTACGCCATTGAACTACTCTTTCAGCAAAACTTGGACCCTTGGATAGGGGCTGACCTCAGTCAGGCACCCAACGACCCTCGGAGGTGACCCTGGGAAGAGATGCTTTAGTGATCATAGTAGCGACAGCAATAAGAACAGGGTGATTTCGTAGCAACATGAAATATCAGTGTGCATATACTATTGAATACCGAAGATTCTGAGCTGCTGATGAAATCTACATGATTTTTCAGCCCAAACACCCAGAAAGTATTCATAGATCAGCCGATAAAAATTTGTGATGAAATAGGGTCTGCAAAACGTGCTCCGGAAAGAACAATATTTAGATGTTTTATGGTCATTTTGTTACGAAAAGGTGTGCCATTTGAAAAAAGAATATTATTTTAATCACCTGTATGATTTGACCACGTGGAAAAAAAAACATAGTATGTTGCGTTCTCGATACATTTTAACAATTTGTTACGGGTTCAATGTGTCGAAGTAGCAAGGACTGCACTAAGTATGAGTAAAGGCATGAGCGGATTCTTATTGGTGAAACATGCAAACAGTAACGCGGTGCGTGCGAGCTAGCTATTGTGATGCTAGCGATGAGGTTCGGGGTAGCCCCAAAGTGTAGGCCGACTCGACCAGGCCAGCAATGCTTGGTTTGGCAATTTTAGCGCGCAAAGTCTGAGAAATGTCGTTGGCAGTAAATGGGCGAAGAAACGGTTAATCTTGTACGCGATGTTGAGCTGCACGGTAAGGAATGTGAGTGCGACTATTTCGCAAAATCCCGGGCTTCGCAAGTACGCTTGGAGGATTGGGTGGTTTTCTATATCGATGAGGGGCACCAAGCTATCTTCTGTGGAGGTGCGATCATTACAACGAATAAGGAATCCAATCCTTCAAACTCTCGTAGAGTTGATGGCTGAGGATTTTCTCAGGGTCGACGGTCGGCTTTGATGTAGGACGCGTCATTGATGGCGGATGATGGTGTGGCAGTTCCCTCATGGTTGGGATGTATGGTCGAAGAAGGCTGACATGGGTGGTGACGGGCATGATGATGTGGCTCATTCGAAATGGGCCTCTGTAGCGCAGGCAAAGTTTCAGCATGACGGGCAGGCATATATTCTTAGTGTCGAGCAGCACGTAGTGTTCGAACTGGTACATCACGGGGCGATTGTGGCGATTGATGTTCCTTTTAGCGATGATGTTGGCTTTCTTGATTGCGTTTGCAGCGCGCGTCCGGGCAGTTTGCAAAATTTCAACAAATTGTTGTGCACGTGGTGTTAGGTTGTCCAACTTCGGTGTCATGGGCACTGTATGGTTCTGCACATAATTGAGGTAAAACGGTGAGTGCTGCATTGTTGTTGGCGTGACGTTGTTGTAGGCGAACTCAAATAGCGGCAACTGCTGCTCCTAAAGTGTCGGGTCGTCACAGGTGGCGCGAATCAGCTGCTCCATGGTCTGGTTCGTTCTCTCTGTTTGACCGTCGGTCTTGAGCTGGTACGATGAACTTAACTGTAGCTGGGTCTCGAATTGCTCCCACAAAAATCTCCAGATGTTGCTGATCAACTTCGTGTCACGGTCGCTAATTATCGCGACTAGTATCCAGAAGCTGCTGATGAACCGGTGAGCTTTTTCTTCGACTGAAGTAGATTTCATGCATGCAGCAAAGTGAGCCATTTCATTGGTCAGTCAACAACAACCAAGACTGCGTCGTTACCATCAAGGCACGAAGGTAACCGCGTGACAAAATCCATTGAAACTTCTGCCAGGCGTGTTCGGGCATAGGAATCGGCTGTAGTTGACCCCCTTCCTTCTTAGCACATGAGGCACATCCCACATGGTGATTTACATCGGTTAATAGCTTCAGCCAATGATAATACCGCTGCAGTTGCTGTTGCATTCTTCCAACCCTGAAGTGACCCGAGGCAACTCCGTCGTGTGCCTCTTGCAGTAGCACTTCTTATAGCAGTCAATATGCCGGCACCTGGATGCGGTTCGTGCTAGTTTTTACGTAATAAACTCCCTTAGCCTCTAGTAGCTTCTGCGAATTCCCAACGGTGAAAATTGGGTCAGTGCAGTAATCGTGGGTGAATATTCTAGTCAGTAGTGGGTTGGTTTAGGCGAGTAGTATGGCATACAGTTAGCCTGTTGGGTGGGTGAGGGCGTCAATGATATTTGAAGCGAATTTATTGTACATTACAGTGTATTGGCAATTGGACTCCGCATTGTCCAACCACTATATCTGTCACAGATTGAGGTTCAGTTGGGCGCGAAGGTATTGTAGTGAACCATGATATGTCCATACTGTTACGTTAGCTCATGCTAGGAAGCACCCCACACCTTGAACGCGTGCACGATCGCCAGCATCTCGCGGTAGTCTATTGGGTATTTGCGTTCGGGAGGGTGATTTTGCGGGAGTTGTACGCGATTGGTTGAAGGTCGTTTTCGAAGAATTGCAGTAGTACTGCTCCCACAACAATATCACGTGCGCCAATGATGAGATCAAATGGACGGTATAGATTATAGATGTGAAGTACGGACGACGAGCACATTCTTTTTTTTTTTTTTTTTTTGCCGAAAAGGCAGCTTCCTCTCTCTTCACCCCACGTGTACTCAACCCCTTCCTCAACCCCCTCTCCTATAGATACTCACATTTAGAGAGTGAAAGTGGGCAAAACGCCTCGCTCATGGTCATCTCAAAGGTGGCACGGCCGTTGGTCAGTTCGAAGGGCTTAACGATCTTTTCGACTGAATCGTAGCGGTTGCGTGAAGGCGGTTTCCGGGCAGTCGGGTGGGATTACGCGGATCTGATGATAACCCCCTCGAATATTGATTTTCAAGAAGTCGCGGACTGTGCGAAGTTGATTGATGGGTTCGTTGGCTTGCGGAATAGGGTACTGTGACTTGATGTAACCCTGATTAGTGCGCGATAGTCGATGCACATGGGAAATCTCTCGCCTTCTTCCTGTGAACAGTATTGGTCATGTGAAAGGTGACGAACTCGGGCAAATAAATTTATTCTCGAGCATGTAGTCCAACTGCCTCAATATTTCGTCCAGTTCGGGTTGGGTCAGTCAATACTATCGTTGTACTGTCGGCTGTGACCTCGATCAACTCCACGCTGTGGTCATGCTGTTGCTAAGGTGGCAGTCCCTTTGGTAGGTCGTCTGGAAATATTCCGCTGTACTGCTTCAATATTGCTGCCAGGTTATCTGGTACATCAGCGAGCAGTTTTTGTATATCGCTCGGTTTGTCTGCTGCCTCGGCTTCCAAGACGTCAGCTCCTGCCGCTGCATCGCGCTTCATCGTAATGGTGTTCACTCGAACCTACGAAGACCCAGGCAAGTTCCAACAAGGTAAAGTAATATTGTTACCATTGACCCGCACATTGCACTCGCCCGTCGTCCAGTCTATTTATGACTTTTGTTACCGCAGCCAATCACAACCGAATAAAATGCCAGTTTTGTCGAGGTTTGTGGCCAATATTTCTTGGATAAATGTGAATTTACCCCCGCAGGGAACCCGAATTCGATCCACACGTTCCCGTATCGCCAGTAGTGTGCAGTTGCAGTACTAATAAAGATGTGTTTGTCAGGGTAATATACAATTCTATATATTGTTCTATAACTGCCTGTAGTGTAGAATACTGTAGTCATATAACTTTCTGTTTGGTGGTGCACCTCTCATGCTTCTAGCTTCTACATCTTGTACTCTCATATCATAGTCAAACTCCTTTTGGCCAAACTCTCTCGACATTGTAGCTTCACCCTAAAACCCTAGTCCTAAGTTATCTTAGGATTCTGACATGGTATCAGTGCAGTTTCGTTCCTAATGGGCCCACCGATTTTTCCGCTTATGGCGCTCGTCACGCCCTTCATCACGCCCTTCGTCGCGCCCTTGGTTTTTGATGGTCGCAGCGGCCTCAACTAAGAGTGCGACAACGAGTTGGGCGCGCCCCCCTGCATCGCCCTACCCAGTCGCCCGCCTTCCTGTCGCCTCGCCGCTGGCCGCGAACGCGCGCACCGACGCCAGCGCCCAGCACCGGACGCAGACGCCAGCGCCAGGCGCCAGCGCGGCCGCCAGCGCCCATCGCCAGCGCGGACGCCTACTCCCGACGCCGTCGCGGACGCCAGCGTCGACGCCAGCGCCGTCGTCTCACTCTATTTCCTTGTTTGTGCCGACACTATTGCGTGGCATCTTGCGCATGAGGAGGTAGTTTTTAGCTCAGCTATTTGTTTGTGTGTACTATGCTCCCTCTCCTGTTTATTGTGCAATGTGCTGTTATTTGCTTCTAAGCAAGCAGTCGTGAGTTTAGTACCTCGCTGTGGTTCGGCTCGCCCAACCGGTTCCAAAATAAAAGAAAATAGAATATACATGGCAACGAAAAATAAGTGCCAATCGGTTTGTTTCTTTCTGCTTCAACTAGAAGTCTGTCACTTAACATCTCACTGTGTTGACAAATTTTCTCCAGGTGCTCACCGTTCGTATTACGATTGTGTTGCATCCCTTATGCTCACTGCACCGCCGGTCACTGCATGTGTGTAACCTTATGCTCACTGCACCGCCGGACACTGCATGTTTGTCACCTTATGCTCACTGCACCGCCGGTCACTGCGTGTGTGTCACCATATGCTCACTGCACCGCCGGTCACTGCATGTGTGTCACCTTTCTTGCTTTGCTCTATTTGCACCAGAGAAGTGGAGGGACCTGGACGTGTGTCAGGAGTTCAGCATCAGTGAGATTCTGCAGGCAACCGACAACTGGTCCAGCGACAACGTGCTGGGCAAGGGCGGCTTCGCCACGGTGTACAAGGGAGTGTCGCGCAGGGGAGAGCTGCTGGCGGTGAAGCGAGTTGAGCTCATGTCCAACGAGTTTGAGAACGAGGTGAGAAGATGGGCAGGGCACTTCACCGAGTGGGTGAGGAGATGGGAGGACAAAATAGAAGCCAGAAGGGTCCACCAAGTGATGGGAGGAGGTGGCTATTGGGCCCCAACCCCTCCCTGCGTTTCCCTTGCTGGCAGGTGCGGGCGATGGCATCGCTGCGCCACGACAACGTGGTGCGCCTGCTGGGCTTCTGCCTGCATCAGAGCACGGAGAGCGGGCGGCAGGAGCAGATCCTGGTGTACGAGTTCATGGCCAATGGGGACCTGCAGCACCAACTCCACGGCAACCGCTGTATGTTTTTTACCCTCTACACGTTTGTGTTTCTTCACCTTCTTCCACACTCTTCCACCACTTCTTCCATCGCAAGTTCTCCATGTCATCCCCTACTGCGAACAGTTATCTGCCTTATTTATGCTGCAATAATGTCCTGTGGTGAAGTAAAGTGAATATGTTGTTCCCTAAAGAGATGGTGCCTTTTTTTTAGTTTATGGGTCCATCTTGAAGTGAAGTCTATGATGACCCCAGTGAATGGGTGAAGTGTTTAGTGCCTACTCCAAATTTCCCACTCTCATCCTCTCAACCAACTTCCCCCTGTCACCTGTATGTATTGCTGATATTCTCTGTACAGAGTGTCACAGGGTTGACCTCACTAGCTTGATGTTTGCTCTCTACCTCGTCGTTTTCGTCTCGCCTCTCTGCGTTCCTCCCAGCGTCCCTATCCCTACATCAACGGATGAAGATGGCGCAGGGAGCAGCAGAGGGCGTGGCATACCTGCACAGCTTTACCCCGCCCATCGTGCACCGCGACCTCAAGCCCGGCAACATCCTCATTGGCGACAACTTCCAGGTGGGGCGCACACAGAGGGAGCACTACGAGGTGAAGTTGCACACAGGGAGCACTACGAGGTGAAGTTGCACACAGGGAGCACTACGAGGTGAAGTTGCACACAGGGAGCACTACGAGGTGAAGTTGCACACAGGGAGCACTACGAGGTGAAGTTGCACACAGGGAGCACTACGAGGTGAAGTTGCACACAGGGAGCACTACGAGGTGAAGTTGCACACAGGGAGCACTACGAGGTGAAGTTGCACACAGGGAGCACTACGAGGTGAAGTTGCACACAGGGAGCACTACGAGGTGAAGTTGCACACAGGGAGCACTACGAGGTGAAGTTGCACACAGGGAGCACTACGAGGTGAAGTTGCACACAGGGAGCACTACGAGGTGAAGTTGCACACAGGGAGCACTACGAGGTGAAGTTGCACACAGGGAGCACTACGAGGTGAAGTTGCACACAGGGAGCACTACGAGGTGAAGTTGCACACAGGGAGCACTACGAGGTGAAGTTGCACACAGGGAGCACTACGAGGTGAAGTTGCACACAGGGAGCACTACGAGGTGAAGTTGCACACAGGGAGCACTACGAGGTGAAGTTGCACACAGGGAGCACTACGAGGTGAAGTTGCACACAGGGAGCACTACGAGGTGAAGTTGCACACAGGGAGCACTACGAGGTGAAGTTGCACACAGGGAGCACTACGAGGTGAAGTTGCACACAGGGAGCACTACGAGGTGAAGTTGCACACAGGGAGCACTACGAGGTGAAGTTGCACACAGGGAGCACTACGAGGTGAAGTTGCACACAGGGAGCACTACGAGGTGAAGTTGCACACAGGGAGCACTACGAGGTGAAGTTGCACACAGGGAGCACTACGAGGTGAAGTTGCACACAGGGAGCACTACGAGGTGAAGTTGCACACAGGGAGCACTACGAGGTGAAGTTGCACACAGGGAGCACTACGAGGTGAAGTTGCACACAGGGAGCACTACGAGGTGAAGTTGCACACAGGGAGCACTACGAGGTGAAGTTGCACACAGGGAGCACTACGAGGTGAAGTTGCACACAGGGAGCACTACGAGGTGAAGTTGCACACAGGGAGCACTACGAGGTGAAGTTGCACACAGGGAGCACTACGAGGTGAAGTTGCACACAGGGAGCACTACGAGGTGAAGTTGCACACAGGGAGCACTACGAGGTGAAGTTGCACACAGGGAGCACTACGAGGTGAAGTTGCACACAGGGAGCACTACGAGGTGAAGTTGCACACAGGGAGCACTACGAGGTGAAGTTGCACACAGGGAGCACTACGAGGTGAAGTTGCACACAGGGAGCACTACGAGGTGAAGTTGCACACAGGGAGCACTACGAGGTGAAGTTGCACACAGGGAGCACTACGAGGTGAAGTTGCACACAGGGAGCACTACGAGGTGAAGTTGCACACAGGGAGCACTACGAGGTGAAGTTGCACACAGGGAGCACTACGAGGTGAAGTTGCACACAGGGAGCACTACGAGGTGAAGTTGCACACAGGGAGCACTACGAGGTGAAGTTGCACACAGGGAGCACTACGAGGTGAAGTTGCACACAGGGAGCACTACGAGGTGAAGTTGCACACAGGGAGCACTACGAGGTGAAGTTGCACACAGGGAGCACTACGAGGTGAAGTTGCACACAGGGAGCACTACGAGGTGAAGTTGCACACAGGGAGCACTACGAGGTGAAGTTGCACACAGGGAGCACTACGAGGTGAAGTTGCACACAGGGAGCACTACGAGGTGAAGTTGCACACAGGGAGCACTACGAGGTGAAGTTGCACACAGGGAGCACTCCGAAGTGAAGTTGCACACAGGGAGCACTACGAGGTGAAGTTGCACACAGGGAGCACTACGAGGTGAAGTTGCACACAGGGAGCACTACGAGGTGAAGTTGCACACAGGGAGCACTACGAGGTGAAGTTGCACACAGGGAGCACTACGAGGTGAAGTTGCACACAGGGAGCACTACGAGGTGAAGTTGCACACAGGGAGCACTACGAGGTGAAGTTGCACACAGGGAGCACTACGAGGTGAAGTTGCACACAGGGAGCACTACGAGGTGAAGTTGCACACAGGGAGCACTACGAGGTGAAGTTGCACACAGGGAGCACTACGAGGTGAAGTTGCACACAGGGAGCACTACGAGGTGAAGTTGCACACAGGGAGCACTACGAGGTGAAGTTGCACACAGGGAGCACTACGAGGTGAAGTTGCACACAGGGAGCACTACGAGGTGAAGTTGCACACAGGGAGCACTACGAGGTGAAGTTGCACACAGGGAGCACTACGAGGTGAAGTTGCACACAGGGAGCACTACGAGGTGAAGTTGCACACAGGGAGCACTACGAGGTGAAGTTGCACACAGGGAGCACTACGAGGTGAAGTTGCACACAGGGAGCACTACGAGGTGAAGTTGCACACAGGGAGCACTACGAGGTGAAGTTGCACACAGGGAGCACTACGAGGTGAAGTTGCACACAGGGAGCACTACGAGGTGAAGTTGCACACAGGGAGCACTACGAGGTGAAGTTGCACACAGGGAGCACTACGAGGTGAAGTTGCACACAGGGAGCACTACGAGGTGAAGTTGCACACAGGGAGCATGCAGCGTGTATACATGCTGACAGTATGGAGTGATACCACTGTGTGTGCATGAGAGCTACATGCTTGACAGAAACAGCGAGCATGCAGCATGTATACATGCTGACAGTATGGAGTGATTGCCGTGGCTGTGCATGATAGAAACTTCCAATGAAAGCAGCGTGCATGCATGATAGCAGCATTTGTCTGATCAATTCAGAAATACGGCATCACCTTCATCCCATGTTACCACAAATCATATCACTGCCTAGCACCTGGCAGAATTTCACTCTCTCCTCAACCTCCCCATTTGCCCATGTCCCCACCTTCCCACACCTCCACACTGCACCCCACCGCATGGCAGGCGAGCAGCAAGGTGCAGGCGTATGAGTTCGCCTCCCTCAAGGACCCCAAGCTGGATGCACCGGAGGAGGCAGTGGTGGAGCTGGCAGACATCGCTCTCGACTGCGTCAAAGTGCCCGGCTGCCGCCGCCCCGACATGAAAGACGTCGCACGCCGCCTGCACGCCATCCTTACCAAGTACTGTGCAGACGGCCCTTCCAGTAGCAGCGCCGACCCTGCGGTTCACGTGGAGGAGGAGAGACCCAGCTTTGGTGGTGGCATCAGCATGGAGACGTTTGAGAGAAGCGAGCTATCGGAGGGACCCAGTGAGTGGCCTACTTCCAGGATCCTCAGCTCGTCTTTGTCAAGCAAGTGGTGGTCATTCCAGCAAGTGGGACTATGAAGTTTCTGACAAGGTGACAGTAGAGAGAAGATGTATGGTGCAGAAAGTGAGATAGGACAAGAGGCGTGCGGGGCAGGGAAAGGCACGAGAGTGGGCGGCATAGGGAAACGCGGTGAAGGGAGGAGTTTTTGACAGTGTTGGTGCTGGATTGATACATGCCTTAGCAAGTTAAATAGCTGTAGAAGTCAGTGTCATTGGCGCTTTATATTTTGATCAAGAGAGGGATGTGAGCACAGGCTACTGGTACCGTACCGCACACAGGACAGTAGCACAGCGGTACCTGAATCAATGCACATGCATTCTTTTCCTGGCAGGCCAAGCAGGCAGGCAGGATGCTACAGAATCCTTTGGAGCAGTGTTATAATACAAAGGCGCTCATGTCATGCTAACCTTGGCGTCACTCTAGGCACCTGCTCTGAAACCTGCTGCTGTGAGTGTTACAAGAAGCTCCTGTGCCACAATCAGTTCCATTCCTCCCTTTCAATCCTACGTCCCAAGTCAGCAGTCAACGCTCTGAAACAAAGGCACTCGTGTGGTGGTGGACGTTGGAGTCAGAGCACTGCTGTCGCGAGCACTAAAACCAGTTCCTGGGCCACAATCAGCGTCGTCAATGCCTCAGCTTCCCCAGCTTCCCTCTCTGCCTCCTCCCCTGCTTCAACCCTACATCCAACTCGGCAGTCAGTGCCGTGTTATAAACCCACTCGTGTGGTGACCGTTAAGTCAGAGTCAGATGGCGCCTGCTCCGAACCCTGCTGTGATGACTGCTGCAAGCAGTTCCTGTGCCACTATCAGCTTCCTCATTGCCCCACCTTTGTCACTGCCCCACCTTCCTCAGCTACTGCCCCACCTTCCTCAGCTACTGCCCCACCTTCCTCAGCTACTGCCCCACCTTCCTCAGCTACTGCCCCACCTTCCTCAGCTACTGCCCCACCTTCCTCACTGCCCCACCTTCCTCACTGCCCCACCTTCCTCAGCTTCCGTCTCTGCCTGCATGCACATTCGCTTGAACCCTACACCCAAGTCAGCAGACAGTGCTCTTATCCGGTGACTGTTGGGTTCACTCAAAAAGGGGCTGCTCCAAACCCTGCAGTTATGAGCGCTTCCAGGAGTTCCTGTGCCACAATCGGTTTCCTCACTGCTCCATCCATGCCAGCCTCCAAGCACGCTCGTTTCACTCCTGCATCCAAGTCAGCTGTCAGTGCTATGATACAAAGCCGCGCGCCTGCAACACTTGCTTCCGTGCTTGGATCGGCTGCCCTTGTTGCCGGCTGTGCCCCTGCCTCCCGGTGTGCCTCTGTTTCCTGCTGTGCGTCTGCCTCCTGATGTGTGCGCTCCATGGCACGGATTTGACGAGCCGTCTCGAAGCTAGGGTGAAGGGAATCAGTGGGGTGCAACAGGATGGCCACGTAGAGAAATTATGATGGCTGGAGGTGCAACTTCAAAGGGCAACAGTGAAAGGCTACAGTGAAAGGCTACAGTGAAAGGCTACAGTGAAGGAACCCAAACTGAACTATGACGGTCGCTATGGTGAATTTGAGCTGAGGGTTAATCTAAATGGCAATGGATGATTAACGCAGTAGTAGCAGGAAGGATCATGGCACAGTAACAGCAATGGCGAAAGCAGCAATAGCAGGAATGATAGTGGACCAATAACACAGCAATGTGAACCAGCAATAGCAGGAGTGGTAACGGCAGAAATCCAGGCTCACCCGTCGATGCCGGGCGGCATGTGCAGGTCGAGGAGCAGCAGGTGGATGGGCGGGGAGGAGGTAGTGGCAGAGGAGGAAGAAGAGGAGAGCGCCTGCAGCGCATCCTCCCCGGAGGGGAGCAGCAGCACGTGCGCCCCGTAGCCCTGCAACGTTCTCCTTGCCACCATGCGGTTCACCGCGTTGTCATCCACCACCGCCACCGACTGCCCCGTCACCACTGCTCGCACCAGCACCTCCGCCTCCTCTGCTCCCTCCGTCTCGGCACGCATTCTGGGGAGCGAGTGTGCCCGCCTTGTCTGCCGCCCCGACACCGCCGCTGGGGCCGGCGCCTCCGCGTCTCCCAGGCCCTCCGTGTGGGAATGGGGCTTGGGGAGAGAATGCGACCGTGCTGTTCGCCGGCCCCCCTTCACCACCGCTGGTATCGGCTCCTCTTTCGCTGCTGCCTGTGCCGCCGCCGCTGGCGGCTCCCCTTTGGCCTCTTCTGCATTCTCTAAGGCCTGCGGCTTGAGGTGAGAGTGAGTCCGTGGTGCCCGTTGCTGTTACTGCTGCTGCTGCTGCTGCTGCTGCTGCTGCTGCTGCTGCTGCTGCTGCTGCTGCTGCTGCTGCTGCTGCTGCTGCTGCTGCTGCTGCTGCTGCTGCTGCTGCTGCTGCTGCTGCTGCTGCTGCTGCTGCTGCTGCTGCTGCTGCTGCTGCTGCTGCTGCTGCTGCTGCTGCTGCTGCTGCACACATGCCTGCTGCGGCATGCCTGGCTTTGTGCCACTCGCAAGTTCCACACACTCCTCATCACATCCCGACCCGCTCTCATCCCTTTCCCCACCGCCCTCCTCCTCATCCCACTCCCCGTCCCCGCAGCTGTCATCGTCCTCCACTCCCCCCAAGGGCAGCGCCAGCAGAATGGTGGTGCCTGTGGCGGCGTCTGACAGCACTGCCATGTCTCCCCGCATCTCCGCCACCTATTGATTGAAGGAGGGAAAGTGGTGGGTGAAAGAGGGGAAGTGGCGGGCGCAGAGGAGGGGCGTGGAGGGACAAGGTGAGAGTGGTGGTGCCTGTGGCGGCATCTGACAGCACTGCCATGTCTCCCTGCATCTCCGCCACCTGCGGGGATGTGGGTGAAGAGGGATGGGAAAGACGTGTGTGTGGGGGGGAGGGGAGAAGGCGGTGGAGATGGGGGGTTTTGGGGGTGGAAGCGGGGTTCAACAAAACATCACTTTCACAAGGTCGTGGGAGAATCTCAACCGGATAAGGTCGGGATATCTGATCCAACAAAATTTACATCTACGCACTGGGAGGAGGGGGCACTCACAAGGGCGGTGGAGAGCAGGAAGCGAACGGGGTAGGGCGTCCAGCGGGGGCGAGCAGCTGCCTTCTGCTCGTGCGTGAGAGCAGCTTTGGATGCTGGCCTCTTGGGGCGGCGAATGAGAGAGAAGGGAAAGAACGTGCCCTGTCGGAGGGTGGACACACACAGAGAGAGAAAAAAACAAGGGAAAAAATAAAATAATATATATATAAAAAAAAAAAAAGAGGTGAGGGGTCGATTGAACATGCTGGTGAACTTCCACGGGCACTTCTTGGCAGAGTGTGAGAACTTGCAGCAATTCAACGGAGCAGCCCTGTTGTGTGTGAAAACTCACCTTGACACCTTGCTCATCCTGATCGCTGTCATCACCATCATCAGCAGCATCACCATCATCAGCATCAGCATCAGTAGGCGGTGCATGAGAGGTATGAGCGGCGTGGTGGGAGTCTCCATGTGGATCCAGCACCCACCGCATCTCCTCGGGAGGTATACCACCGCCCGTGTCCTCACATGCCACCACCACCATCCACTCACCCTCCTCCCTCGCCCTGCATGCCTCCTCCACCCACTCCCTCACCTCCTCCTCCAACCGCCCATCCCCACCCTGTCCCTCCTCCCCCCCCCTCCCACTTGACCCTTCAAACTCCCCTCTGCCTGTCGCCCCCATGCCTGTAGCCACTGCCACACGCCTGCAGCAGCGCTCAACCAACCCCATCCGCCGCTGCTCCTCACCCCCTTTGCTGTTAGCCCCGCCGCCCGGCCTTCCCGCCTGGATCCGAGGGAGGCACGCGAGGGCGGTGGGGGGAGGGAAGCGGCGCACACAGGCAGCCAGCTGCTGCCACGTGGAGGAGGCCCCATGATTTGAGGGAGGGTGAGTGGCAGGCGAGGCGGTGGATGGGCCGTGGAGATCGAAACAGTTGATGGAAGCGGGGAGGGGAGGTGGGGGAGGGATGCAGCCGACATGTAAGGTCACGTGGCCCCCTGTGGTGTTGCCCATGGCGTGGGCTGTGAGCGAGGGGGAAGTTGAAGTGGGCAGACGCAGAAAGGGTGCTTTAATAAAAAAAGGAACCTTCAATATAGGTGCTGAAAAGAGGGCGGTGAAAAGGGCTGTCGTCAAGGGTTGAGGTCAAGGCTGGTCTTAGAGCTGTTATCACAGGATGTTACAAACGAAGCAAGAAGATAGTTTCAGGGAGGTGCTAGGTAGATTTGTGTTAAACACACACATGCAGCACATACAAAGCACATGCACAGCTGAGAGCAGCATCATGCGAGGCGGCCAACAACCCAGCACCCACCCGTGAGCTCTCCAATGACTTGCAAGAGGCGAGTCGGATCCCCCATGAGGACAGCTGGCACACTCTCGTCCACGTGGCATGTCACTGCAGCGTGGCGCACAGCAAGATAATGCAAAATCAAGAAACAGCAATGAGTTGAACGGAACGCGCGGCCTGTGTTAAACCAAGTCGAACGCAGCTGGTGCAGGCAGAGCAAGCACGCTCGTACCGTGCGACTCCTTTGTGTGCGCATCAGAGGCAGCGAGTGCGGTCGCCTCACGCACGATGCGGCGCAGGCAGCAGGGGAGGGTCTCGAGCTGCAGGCGGCCGGCCTGCAGCTTGGCGAGGTCCAACACTCGGTTGATGAGCTCCACCGTCTCGCCCGCACACGCCCTCGCGATCCTTAAGTCCGCCACCTGCCACTCCTCCAACCGCGACTCCAGCAGCTCCTCGATCATGCCTGTGTGAGAGGGGAGGAGGGGAAGAAGGGGGAGGGGAGGGAGGGGAGGGGGACGGGGGTTGGGTTTGGTAGGAGTGGGGGGCGTTGCAGCTTGGCACTCGGTTGATGAGCTCCACTGTCTCGCCCGCACACGTCCTCGCCACCCGCAGGTCTGCATGCTGGGTTGCTTCAACTGCACGACGAGTCAGTTGTGAGCAAAGGGCAGTGCTGGTTCTGCTCGCAATGATCAAGCCAAAAGAGCACACACACGCGAGCCAATGTGAGTCAATGCACGTACCCGTAGACCCACGTGCATGTGTACACTGACTGAATGAAGTGTAGGAATGCACCAACATGCTAGGAGGTTGGGCTGAATAGACTAGGAGAGCACCCGCTCAAAAACGAGGTAAGGAAATGAATCTATCGACCTGAATATCCAACCTGCGTGAGTGTGTTGAACAGTCACGTGTACAGTACACGTTCGGTTCGACGCAACTTGACAAAAACAATGTAACTGGACCGAATCGTTTGGCTCGAACATGGAAACTCTATAGGCAGAAATAGTACAATGTTCTAACACGTTTGAACTTAACCCAAAAGGGGAGTAATGTTGTGCTCATCCCTACCTAACTCATACATGTATCCACAGCCTCGCCTATCAACCCAATAATTGGTGCAACTACACATTACGGCCTCACCTGTCATATGAAAACATGACACTATCTAAGTTTCAAAATCTAAGTTTCGTCACTCATGCCGATTATTTGCGCAACTCGTGCACTTAAAGGCCTCACCTATCATGCCAATGATTGGCATGCGCAGCTCATGCGAGGTGTTGGCCACGGTCTCACTCTTGGAGCGCTCAGCTCTCTCCAGCGCCTTTCGAGGCGCCTCAAAACTGGCGCTATACATGTCCTCCGCCTCGCACATACAAGTACGCCCCTCTCACCTATCACGCCGATGAGTGGCGTGCGCAGCTCATGCGACGTGTTGGCCACGGTCTCACTCTTGGATCGCTCGGCATTCTCCAGCGCGAGCGTGCAGAGCTGCATCTCCCTCAC